CCCAGAAAAAGATTTTATATGAAGAACAGGCTACTGTTTCTTAGTCTGCCTTTTCCCTTGGCATTTTACTCACTTCCAAGCTTAGGTGCTTCGGAAACCAGAGTGTTGATCTTGTCTCTTTCTTCAGAGCATGTTAGCAGAAAGTGGATGAAGTCCTGAAATACCTAGCAAAGGGAAAAGGGTGAGAGATCTTTTCATCAGTTGCTGTAACTTGAAGGGTAATTTCTGCTATTTTAAAATTGCCTTTGAAATTTTAATAGAGACATCAGCGGAGTCTGTGCAAGAACGCTTCCTGTGTGTGTTTTTTTCATGAATAGACATCAGTGACAGAGTTGCTGTGTGGGGTTCTTTCTGTTCAGGCCAGGGGTAGGGGGGTGGTGCAGGGGTTCCATGGGAGGGAGGTGAGATCTCTCACTATTTAATATGAAATGTTCTTTGTCTTTGGGGATTTTGAATCTCACTGTATGCCTGTTAAAGCCTTGGTGTACAAATGAGATTATACTTTCTGTTAACTTGCATCTTGGCTTAAAAGAAAAAAATTGTCCTAACTGCCAGGTGGGACCAACTGAAAAATATCATTGGATGTTAGGAGTCAAGGCATTAACCAGACTCTTTAGGAATTAGGTCACTCCATGTCTTCCAAATAGTTTCTTGGGACTAACACTGCCATTATTCAGGGAACCCTCCCCCCAATCTTTCTACTTCCCACCAAAACCAAAGCAAAACTGTTATTACTTTCATCAGAAAAGAAATTATTCCGTTTTAATTTTCCTTTAAGCCAAAATAAGTGCGATCTTCCATTTTCCCTAGCTTTAGAAAATTGCTTCTTAATGGTTTTGCGTTGGATCTTGAGTGTTTAATGCAGCCCTGCAGTCTATTGGGGCCTCAGCGCCTTAGCTCTGCTCCTGTTTTGTGAATGGTGAGAATTCCGTCCCAGCAGACCTGCATTTTAATGACTCAGGCGGAGAACATCTTGCGTGCACAGTGCAAAGCAGTGGTTATACAATAGAGATGCTTGAGAAGTTCTCATTTTGGGACCATTTCGTTATTGAATGTTTAGGAACTGTGTTCCTTAGACATGATACTGCAGAACAAAAATACTGTAATGGAAAACAGTAATAAAGGAGAGGAGGTTGATTCATTTTCCTAACACTTTCTTTTCCTTTGCTTCTCTGTATTTTTGACTTGAAAAATGTGATCAGTTGGTAGAAGACTTTTGCACAATGTGTTGCTACTGTTTCTTTTTTTTTTTAATAGCTTCTTTCCGTATGGAAGAGACCCGTGTTAACCCCATCAATAAAGATCTTGATCCCTCCACAAACGTCTCTGGCAAAAGAGAGTGAAATGTAATTGCTCTCAGTTTTTAATCACAACTCAAACTGAGTTGGAATGAACATACCCCTGATTTGGATTCTTATTCAATAAGGTTTTAAATATGTAACCATAGCTACCATGTGGTGGCTCTGGTGTTTATTAGTCTGGCGTCAAAGTCAGTACTAGGAGTGCCATTGCCGAGGCTTGGATTATAAATATCCACAAATATCCATTACAGAAGCATGCAAGGGCAGATGCTGGGGTAGGCGGCCCGAGGGCCCCACACTTGGAACTTACTTTATGGAGCATATGCTGTGTTCAGTACAGTAAAACCTTGGCTATCCGATGGCTTCAAGGAATGTTCCATGTAGTAAGCATTTAACCTTTTAAATATCACAATTTAACTGTTGTTTTTTTTTCATGGAAATATTTCTGACTTGTTCTGTGGATTTTTCTGCCACTTGAACCGAATCATGACAAAGAAATTAAATCATGTTTAGCTGTGTGAACACAATTACTAACCAGCGTTATACAGATAGTTAGACCTACAGAATGTGAGGCCAAAGTTGAATGGCGTCTGAGCCCAATGTTCCTTGGAGCTTAAAAAAAAAAGGTTGCTGATGTCATCGCTCTTTGGAATTTTTTGTGTTTGGGTACTACGTGCACGAAGGAAGGACCCTTAAAGATTGTCTCGACTCCTTATTTCTGAAGCATGAATCCCAGTTTCAGCATAATCTGGAGTTGGGCTCCTAGGGTTATGGGCAGCACTGGGCACCGGTGTGCCAGTCCTGCCTACAGAGCAGGTTGACAACTCAGAGACCGCAGTTGTCTCCTGTTGGCAGCTCAGTTTTATTTATGCTCAGTTTGCTATTCACGCTTCAAGAAAGAATGTCCTTCACTCTTTCTTAACTGATGGCGAGCTGTTTTGTCGAATATTTTCTTGAAATCCCATTGATTCTGCCTTAATTGAAGGAAGAATGTCAAGAGTCAGGAAACTCAGCCCTAGGGTTTAGTGGCTCAGGAAGTAGTGTGGCCTCAGGTTAGTCCGTAGGTTCTCTGGCCCCCAGTCTCTTTCTTTCTAGAATGGTTCTGGAATAAATGGCTTTTTCTAGCACTGAAGTTTTGCTCAATATCAATTTCTCTGAGCTTTCTTCAGATTTTTAAAAAATAGCTTCTGAGACAACATAAAAATTGCAACTTGAAGCTGTAATGAAAAATAAAACTAGTATCATCCTCAGCTAACTCATTAAATCTTCTCTTTATAAAGAGATTGTGTCCTGATTTACCCTCCAGGTGGAAAGTAGAATTAGAGAGTTCGCATTAGAATTGGCAGCAAAAGACAAGAGGGTCCCTCCACAGCGATTTTGCTAGATGGGCTGAGTTTACAGTTGCCCCCAAATGGAATTGCTTTCATATAGCCAGATAAACCTCTTATCAGACACAGTCTGCTCCTGAAAATAACCAACCTGGGGAAAAAAAAAAAAAAATTTAAATAGCTCCTGGGTCAGTTTGTATTCTGTATCCAACATCAGTGGCTTGTGGGCCACACTCTGCATAATGGGCACCAGTCTAGATGCTCCGGTTTGGGCAACCTCTTGTGCTTATCCTTTGTTTTCAGAGTTACCATTTCGAGACTGTCAAGGTTTCTCCCCAGCCGTCTTTAATCAGCCTTGCTGTCACAGAGGATATGGTGCCCACTTGTCTTGTATTTGCCCTTTCACAGTATATGTAAAAGCACTTAATGCTACTCTGCTAGAACTGTTGTTTGAAGAACTTCTGTGGTGCTTGCTTGCCACTTGGTTCCTGGTATGCTTCCTGTCCTGGCCATCTCACTCCTTGCCAAAATTGTCAGGGTGTTTTGGTTGCTGGCCCTCTGGCACGGCATATGGGCTC